AGTCTTTCTCGATGCAACTCTTGGTTAAAAGCGTCATGCATTGGACGATTGGGTGCGGTCAGGCCTAATTGAATTAATAGTTTGTTTGACATTATCAAGCACATGTCCTCAATTGAAATCAATGCTTCATTGTAAATTTCTTCACTGATTTGTATATTTGGATTTCCCATTCTATTCTGTATTTGATACAAAATATCATCACACATATAATCTTTGTACTTGATCTTTTTTTATATATAATAGTTGAATACCTCCTAGGTGAAGCCGGGTAAACCAGCTAGTTTAATATGAACTTTATACCATAGCAATAAAGCTCAAATTGACTACGTTTTAGTTACAAATCATTTGTATTAGAAAAAGAAAAGGGCTATTTTTAGGGTTTTTCCAGCAATAATTCTAATTTTTCTCGCCGTAAAAACCATCCTTGAACTTCAACGAACATTTGAAAAAAAGATTTGGCCAAATTGGTCCAGGCGTTGTTGAGTTATGCGCTTACCAACACATTTTGCGATTCATTTTTATATTATAGATTATATTTTAATTTTTCAACAAGCTAAACAAACAATTATGTAAGTAAATTTTTTTTTTTTTAATAAATTATAACCAGGGTTCCCCTCAGGGAAAGTATATGATAATATGCTTAGCGCATCCGGGGCCCCGAGCTACACTGGCGGAAATCCTCAGGCAGGAGATTCCAGTGGGTTTAATCCGAATTACTCCCGGTATAAGGAGCAACCCCTTTACGCTAGTAAAGGGAAGAACATTCTCTTGTCCTTAGGGTAAGAAATTACTCTTAAAGGCGGACGAACGTGTCAAATTTTTTTTTCTCGTCAACGACATAGAATGCGAAAAGCAAGAGTCAACTATCGCATTTAATATCTAAATAGATATCCTGAGTATCAGCAATTTAAAGTATGAATGCTTCGACAGTAAAAAATTCCGGAGGTAAAATAGTCCCCCAATCGGATTTCCGGGTGAGGACTACTCAAGAAGTTAATCCTTTAAGATTGAAGAAGAAAGGTCACGATATCAAGAGAGTTGGCACGTGGAATGTCAGAACACTTCTGCAGAAGTTTTTAGTGCATATAATTTCTGGCTCTAATTATTTATTTTTTATTTTATTAATAGAATAATTTGTATAATTATTAGTTACAAAATAAATTATAATATAATCGTATTATATAATCTTACATATTATGCAAGGAAAATATTATATATACTTATCAAACAATTCATACAATTACAAATATTTTTTAAAGAACCTTGTTTTTTTTAATTATCTTTTTCTTTAGTTAAACAAACGTATCTCAAATTATTATTAACATTTTTTTAAAATAACGACCACATTATCGTTAGGAACTCATGCATAATATAACTGTAATTCAGGGACTGGATCCGGGAAATCGTGAATCTTTCCAATGGGCCAGTCCTTGTATGGGCCGCTATATATTATTATATAATTACCAAAAAAAAGTTTTATTTTATAAAATAAATAAAAATCATTAAAAAAATTAATATATATTTAAAAATGCATTAAGATCAAAATTCAAGTTCAAGTTGGAACTGATTAATCATGTGACTTACCCAAAACTATTATAGCTATAATTATAGTAATTTTATTGTAAATTTTACTAATTTAAGGGTGAAACTAAACAAATTTTGAAATTTATGCAAAATAAAGCATTTTTTTGGGAGGGGGAGTGGTAAAATAGTTTAATTTGCGGTTCATGGGCTGATTTATTTCATATTTCTTAGGCCGAAAATAATTCCCAATCCGCCCCTGGTTATTCAGTATGATGTATAATTTATGATTAGGTAAATATCATCAAATATTTACAGGTATTTTTATAAGTACCAATATTAAAATAATTTATAAACGTATTACATTAGATCCTTAGATTTCAAAAGTTTTCTTATCTTAAATATTATTATTTTTAATATATTTATTTTACGGATAAATCATCAATAAATATAAAAAAGATTTTTAACTGTTAGCATTATTATTAATTATTATAAAATGTTTTAATAATCACAGATTATTATAAGGTAAAGCACATATTTATAATTATTGTATATCTATGAGATATGTAATAAATATTTAAGACAGTTTAAATATTAATACAATTTATTTTACAACGTTATATTTATTAATTACAAATTATTTTTCACACAGATTATAAATTTATATTTTAACATAATATGCAATGCCACCCTATCGTTACGCCACTGGTTATAATGCATTTCTATGCCATACCCATTTTTTGTTTGTGTGGTCAAATCTGTGAGCCAACCATTGGTATTCCAGCAACTTGTACCGTTCTGCACTTAAATATAGTGGTTTTCCACGTCTGTTTTATTGCAAAAAATGAATAAATCAATTTATGATTCAATATGCTTATTAACACACTAAACATTTTTAAATATTTACTTGAGTTCATGGTCTTCTTCACCAAAGGTATCCAAGTACATGGATCCCCAAAGACATGCCCGTTTGCCACGAATCACTATCACTGAACTGGAAGTTACAACCAAGAACATGCCTGTACCACCACCACATTCCAACGAATGCTAAAATAAAACCAAGTATAGGTTTATGAATATATAACTCATGATTAAATACAATTATAGTAAAAATATAAAAGAAAACAATTATAAATAATAGGATATGTATAACAATAATTATAAAATATTTACCGAAATGAAAGTAAAAATTGACCAAAATCTTCAACTGTTATGCAATGTAAGAAATGTATGAAATAGTAAAAATAGTCAAAATTCTACATAGATAAAGAGACATTAAAAAATTGAAACTCTAAGTCCTGAATACCCTTGAATAAATTTTCACAAAAATCATTAAAAATAATTGAACTAATCAAAATAAAAAAATTGAAATGATAGAAATACAATAACCTATAATAACCTATAAGTATTTAACTAGATGAAAATACATACTTGCACAGCTTCAAAAATACCATTAGTTTTGCAACAGTTTTCTTTCAGGCATACCACAGTACCACATATTAGACACAGACTACTCTCACGTGGTACGCCATGGCACCGATGACACGGTCGACCATGATAATACTGCAACACATCATCATAACAATGTGGCAACTTTATTAGTTTAGGCCCCGTCCACTTAACTGTTGGTAACAAACGGAGGCCACGGTCTGAATTACTATCGTTAATTTCACTAGTATTATGGTAATATTTAGAGAGACCACCATCACAGCAATCTACGGCAAGTAATAAACGTGCAGCCATCATAATATTGGCGCTTGAATTTGGGTCCATGTCTAGAGATGCAGGTGAAACATTTATATTTTTATACATGGTAGTGGCTATAGGAATACTGGATGTTAACGCTTGGCGAAATGATGTCAACCAAGCCCGAGAAATAGTAGTCGATATATTATCACTGGTATCAGAAGTAGAATACGACCATTTTGGCCAAATAACTGCTTCCATGGCGGACGGTGGCTGAAATGTTGTACATGGTTTGATATCTTTAGGGCTGTAACCTTTGTTATTTTTACAAGAATTATCAATTTCTTTACAGTTAGCACAGTCTTCATAGATTTCCTCGTCGTAATTTAATAGTTTCAAATAACAAGCAAGTGTAAAATATTCATAATCGTCACGTGACCATTGATGACAACGACAATTATTTATATGTGCACGTTCATTAACACATGCTGGAGTATTCTTTACTAACTCATTTTGTTTGTGATGTTCAACATTTGAATTATTTTGTTGTTGCGGCCATGATAATGTTGACAAATCTTGAATGTCATCAAGATTATCTTCATCATCTTCATTTATATACTTTTTCAACAATGCAGCGAACCGTAAAAATGGTAGAGTACATTGCCTTCCATATGATTCTACAAGCAATATATTTTGTTCATCTTCTGAATCAACAATTGGAACATTTTTATCATCTTGAGAAGAAAATAATAAGTTTTTAGCTAAAGCTACAGCTTGCAAAAACGTAGGTGACCGGAATGACAATAATAGTGATGTATCGCCACCTTCGGCCATGTCCACAGATGATATAAATGGCGGTACATCAACTTTGCCATCATCTATATCCATTGGATCACCACTGCTACCTGTTTCTTCAGTCTTCAATATAGTTTTACTTATTTTGTAACGATTATGAGGACGATAGCGATTGTAAGTATTGCGGTTTAAATTACAGTTTTGTTTCCATGTTATAGCAATTTTCAACGCGGCCACGTATAGTTGCATGTTATATGTAAGTTTGACCAAAGCATCAAACAAATCTACATGAATAGTAAAAAATAAATTTTATTTTGACGATTAGGAATTATTATTTGTATATTTAGAAATGTTTACATACTTAGAAAGTAGAATAAAAATTAGAGAAATAAATATATCTTACCACGGTCTAAGTTGGGTATCAACATTGAGAGTTGTAAAAGCACGGTACTTGGATCTCGCATTAATAGCGGTGGTTGAGTCATCTTATATTGTGCTTGAGGACGTTCAGCTCCGGTCAACTTGCACCAAACATCATTGATTGTATTGTCAGTAGTTGATATTAAAGATTGAGCGCTCACACGCAACACATTTAACAATGGAGCTACAAAAACACAAATTAAATAGTTTACTATAAGTAAACTACACTATAAAAAATATATTACACACTTATCTATACTACATTAACTTCTAAATGGATATTATACATTTATACATCAGTTAATATTTGTAAATCAAACCGTATACTTTGTATAAAATAAGGGTAGTAACAGTAGTGAATATTTGAAATTATATCAGTTGTATAGCATGGATTTTGAGAAAATTATCAAAAAATTTTATGAGTCAAAAGGTCTACCAAATATTTACCTATAACTCTTTTGAACTCAAACCTAAGTTTAATTTTTAACAACTGAAGTATAAATTATTTATACATAAATAAACTGTGTGGTACTGTGATATATTCAAAATCATAAGTGCTTACAAATAGTGTATAATTATGTGGCCCTCACTAAGACATTGAATGTATATTGTAACTATAAGCTCTCGTATGATGTTTCAAATCATGTTACACGACGGCACGATGCTCAAATACTAAGTATATTAAAATTAAAATACATTTTCCATCGTCAGAAGCAACATTCAATAACTACCACATTATCGTGTTTGTCAATATATTAGTATCTTATATTCTTAAACATTATTATTGTCTTTATTATTATTAATAAAAGTTAAGAAATATTTATTTTGAATTATATTAAATGTTTTCAAATATACTATTTATTTTCTTTAAGTAAAAATATACGCACCTATACAATTGCACTTCGGCAACATATTGTAATAATTATTGCTACCACTTTTATCTGTATTGGTCATTGCATATCTTTGGTGACGATAACATGAATTACCGTGCTGCAATGACCATGATTCCTTCTCTTGTGTTAGTAGAGTGTTATTACGTTGCACTAGTTCCACTTGGATATTCGTCCATGCTACAGACACGACATTATGCCATCTGACTTTGTACAATTTTTTTCTTTGAGCAGGAGTTAATAAATTTGGTGGTGTTGAAAATGTATGTGCAGCAGCAGTTATAACTGTGGTAGATATCATATCGTTTACACATCTATGTATAGCGTCCAACAAAGAATCTTCTCCACGTTCTAATTCAATTCCATCTTCAGAACTAGACGTTTCATCAATGCTTACATTACTACTAGTTGGTGTTATATTTATAATATCTGTCAATCGATTTATAGCATCATTCAAAGCAATTAATTTATTCGTAGGATTAGAAGTTGCAACACCATATTGCTTTTGTTCTGAGTCACTAGTAGGTGGAATTAACGGCATTATAGAATTTGCTAATTGTTGACAAAGTGGACAACTATACTCTCCTCTGTAATAATAATTAAAAAGTTTTATAATGATACAAATATACAAATTAAATTGCTATATCACATGTTGACAACCCGAGTATGCATGTAAACTATTTATGAACTTTACATGCATACTCTACTCGTGTTGATTATTATATATTAACTATTTATGAACTTAATATATAATATCATAAAATTACTAACTTATCAGAATCAAACCGCTGAGTACCACGCAGGGAGCTTAGATATAAACTCCAACATCTTATATGTAAATGGTGACCGCACGTCTGTACATGAGCATTACCACCGATGGGAACAGCACTAGTTGTGGTTGTTAAAGCTCCAATTTCCAAATCACCCTTATCTAAATTCTGCAACATAAATAATAAAACATCACAACAGGTAAATAAAAAAATATAATAGTAAAAATAAAACAATAATTAAACTAATACTCTGAAAAATTAATACTTTTGAATAATTTATTATTTTAAACACTTGAATATACCTTTAATGTGAGGCAAAACTATTAGAAGAAACAAACTTACATTGAAATACTGCAATAGAAGATGTTTGCGGCGGTCTGAATGTGAGGCATAAGTAGTTGTATCATCATCATTACTAACTGTAGTGACTATAGGTTGATGTTGCTTTAAATCAGAATCATCATCTTCAGATGTGGATTGCTGATGAACTTGTTTTGATGGTAATGGTGGCAAAGAAGGCCAATAACGACTGATATTTAGTCCATCTTCATTCACAAAGTTATTTTCCTCAAAAATACTGTTAGTATCTATTTCTATCTGTTTTTGGGATAACTGATTAGAATCAGTAACATTATTGCTAATGTTATTTTGATTAATTAATGATACTGTAGATGTAATGTGTCTCCTGTGGGCCAATACATTTGTACCCTATAAAGCAATAATAATATGTATTAATTTGGAAATATATAATATTTCATTCTTGTTAAGCAATTTATATGAACTCCGCTCATTAACATACTTTTTTTTGATTATTATTGTAAGTTTAATTATTAATTTACAAATTTGAACTTTTATTAAATTTGTTGCAATAAACCATTAAAATTGTTTCAACATGAGTAAATTATATATTTTGAACAATTAGAAATTATCATTTTAATAAAAATAATGTACTTGTACTAGTATCACTAATCCTACTGGATCTTCACGCTGTTGTTCAGCTTGAATGACCACAGTTTGTTTACAAATAATGCAATCTATTGTATGAAGTATTTTTGATGAATTTGTTAGATGAAGCGCTGTTTCCTTAGTTTCAAAACTATTATTTTGTTCTTTGTCCGTAATATTATCTGGTAAAGATGAGTTATTTATATTACTACTACCAGTGGTTGGAGTAGAAGTTTGAACTCCAGAGACTGGTTCATCATATAATAAAGATGTAGAGGCAGAAGAATTTGCATTCTCTGACACACGGAGTCTATCCAAGAATCTACGTTGCTCTTTTTCTATTTCTTCCATAATTTTTTGCTTTCTCTCACGAGCACGACGTTTACGTTCACATTCCTCATCTTCCCGAGTAGGTGTTTCCTGTATCACAACAGTTTTTGGCCATAATAACAGCCGATGATGAACAATACATTTATAACATGATGATGACCCCTTAGCTAACCGGTCCAATAAGCGACCCACATAGAATGTTCCATCTCCACATTGGAAATAATTATTAGCTTCTGGGCATAATTGATTTGGAAGAATTGATTCGTTTGTTTCAGAAGATGTGGGTGGTGGTGGATGATAGGAATCTGATTTACCAGACAATTGAGAATGTAATTTCAATAGCAATGAAATTATACTCTCATTAATGGGAACTAAGGGATTTTGTTTATCATCATCACTGATTTCCGGTGCTAACTGTTCAAATAAAAAAATGATTATTAGTCAATAAAACCAAACACAAATATTTGTTACTTACATTTTCATTACTTTCTAATATATCTGCTGATGTTTCAGTAGAATTATCATTTTCATAATTAGGCGGAAATACTCGTGGTTTAACTGGATTCACTGTTATATAAAATTAAAAAATTGTGAAATATTTGCAAAAAAAAAAAAAAAAAACATTTATAATATTTAATATATAATCAAATATTACTAATTAAAAATAGTATATAAAAAAATCAAATAATAAGAGTTTCTTACAGTTTCCTAAGTTATGAAAGCTTGAGTTAGGTGTCAAGATATCAAATACGTTTGTCACTAATGTTGAAGCTGTTGATGTATTATTAGTTGGTGGAATGGTATTTTCAGAGTCAGGACCAAAAAAATAATGAAAATATGGTGATGGCAATTCAAAATCCGTAATGGTCATACAAAGATTCTCTACCAAATCATCACTATTAAACCATCGATCCAATAGATGAGATTTTGTATCTTGTTTCTTGCTCAAATTTTTGGTTTTGTCATTTTCACAGCATGCATGGTTAACGTCTGCTTCTTTAATTTTGATTCGTTTCGTTGGACATAATTTTTCAATTGTATCAGTTTTTGGAGATACATAGGAATATTCTTTAGATGATGTTGGTAAAGAAGACGCAGTTGACAAATCCAAATTCAAATCCATGGGTGGTTGTTGTTGATTAGATGAATTTTTTTCATTTATAGAAGAGTCAATATAACATGTCCAAGCTAGATCAAGAAGATAAATCAACAAGCTGAGTGCGTGTTCATCAACATCTTTAAAAACAGCTGTACGATACAGGCAATGCCAAGCAACTCCATGAAATAATCTAGATAATAGTGCTCTACAAGGATCTTGATAAGCTGGGTGGTGTTTTTGTGGTTTCTTATATGGTGGCCAAGGAGTTTCATTCTGTTTCAGAAGTCCAACAGAGCGCATGCTATAAATAAGTTAAAAACAAATAATTAAATTATATAATTAATATAATATAATAAAATCTTTGAACATACTATGCTGTGTAACGATCTAATGCTGATTGAAAGTCACGCCTATGAACAGTTCTCAAAAGTATATGTATTGGATCGTATAAATCACACCAAACATGAGGCAAAGGTACATACAATCCTTGCTGCATATTACCTGATGCTTCAAATTGAGGCCTCTTGTACTCGGCAACCTTTGAATGTTTATGAAATAATTTATATATACGATTAATTCTAGACAAAAAATGATTAATATTAAACTTACAGTTTGTAATACAGTTTCAAAATCTCGTGGCCCTTGATTGTCATCTCTGTCTTTAATAGTGGTAGAGGCCGTGACAGTAGTAGTTTGTGTATTGTCACCACAACGCTCGGGCATTAGTTCCATTAGTTGACTATGAGTCTTATCCGAGACACATAACAATGTTACCATTTCTAGTTGGGACTGACAATAATCATAATTTTCGTCAGAACCTAAAAAAAATAAAATCAAGGTTTTTTAATTTAAAATAAATATTAATGACACATATATTTAATAATAGGAACTCACATAAATTATTTCGGAAGCCCACTAAAGTTGCTAAGAATACCAATAAGCTTTTTATGGTAGATATATCATATTCGACAGTATCCATTATTTGAGGTAATCCACCATGTCTTACATAGAGACAATCATATACTTTAAACCTACAACAACGATGATATAAGCAAATAATTATAATAAACAGAACAAAATTAATGTATATTCTTAAAATAGATAATAATTACTTTTCTAATATTAAAGTCATAAATATGTTGGCATCTGATAATTCAGATACACAAAGTTGAAGTAAATAGATATCAATATCAACCATTGATGTACAGAATTTTATATAAGATTGCATGTAATGCATGGTTTGACCTGAAATTTGTGTACCATTGCGAATTCTGTGATTCAGTGCTTTCTGCATAATTGTATGGAATGCAGCTTGAATATGAACAGGATGTGATGCAATCGCTAGTAAAAATGCATCTCTTTCATCTTTATGACTTGTACCGGTGTATGACATAATATCTTCCATTCGAGCACCTTGCTTTCGCACTGCTTGACACACGAAAGTTCCAAAATACCGATGCAAGGGTAGATGAAAACTGAACTGATTGACATTATCTGATCATCGAATAATGGCTGTGTTACTATGGGTACCAATAATATTATAGTAGCTGAAAATGATACATTACCACCATAAACATCGATTGCATATTGATTATTGATGTAACCAATACTTTGAAGCCATTTGAAAAGGTGTTTTGTAGATGCACGAATCACGTTTGAAGACAATTCCCGTGTATCAGTGGATGTGAGGTGCAATAGCATTGCCCACATGATGTATGTATTGAATTGTTGCTCACCTATAAAAGCAGCAATGAGAGTGTCAGGTTCAAACTCAATGTGACTGTCCAACTCTTGACGGTTGACATTCATTCCTATAAATATTATATTTTCTAGTATTTTTGCACAAGTGATCACTAAAGAACATTTAATATAGAAATACGTAATAATGAAAAATACCTTGAAACATGGACACAAATGAGAACAACAAATCTAACAAAGGTTTATCACGCATAAACTGAATAGCAATAGATCTATGATACAGTAAATTTTTCAGGTCACTCGCTAATACCCAATAATTTTGTTCTTTCATAACGTTTATTGAGCAATCTACAACCATGTGTTTGTTTTTTGTAATATCTAACATTAAAAGAAAATAAATAATTACCTAATTTAATACGAAATATAAATGTTAACGGATTTAATACAATTAATAAATTAATATGATAAACTCAAAAAACCAGTTATTTATAACTAAAATTCCCTAATAATCCTTAACATAAAATGATCTTACCATGAAGTGTGGATCGTATTAATATTTTTGTCATTTCTTTCCGTAAATTAAGTATAATTATTTTAATAAAATCGAATTTCATAACCATATGCGTAGCTAATTCCTTATGACTTAGAAATTGACAATTAATTTTAGCAATTTTGCTACAAAGTTTGTCTAAATCTGATGTTGTGGTTTCCATCAATTGTACTGCACATTTATAGTGCGAAATAATTGCTTCCGCCAAAGATTCTTTAAAATTTGAATCAGATAACATCTTTAACAACCAGCATACCATATATTCAGGATACTTATATTGTACAGTCCAAAAATAAATTTCTTGCAAAAAATTACAATGATTCAATTGATTTTTTTGACTGCTATTATCACCTAAAATATTATTTTCACTTATCATGAATATTTTCTTATAGAAAATTTATTAAAAATAAAACCAAAAAAACATTTAATATATGATGATAGATAAAGACAATAAACACTTAATTGAGAATATATATTTTAAAATTTATATTAAAACTATTTAATTTACCTTTCTGCTGTTGTGGTTCATATAGACTAAAATCTTGATTCACAATACTAGAAGTGCTACTAGTTTGGTAATCACATGCCCATTGGTAAATCTATAAAAGAAAAAAAATTGTTTACAATTTACATAGCTGGAGAAGTTTTAATAAATTAACCTTTTTACTAATGAGAGACCCAGTTATTACACGTCTCATAGTAGATCCCAAATCATTTAGCTTATGCAGCATATTAAAAAATACTCGTAGATCCAATTCTATTCTATCACTTATTATACCTGAAGATACATATGTTGAAGATATTCTAGTATCAGGAAGTTTAATAAAAATAGATATATTAAAAATAATAATTAGTATTATATTAAATTTTTCAATATAATATATACTATACCTGATATTACGTAAATATTGAAGCAGTCTTAACATTAATCTCGGCATTATTTTATCTGCTATTCTTAATAAATCAGCAGGAGATTGTTTATCACTATTAAAACTACCATTTGAATTATTTGTGCTGCGATGTTCATAGCAAATCCTTAAAAAAAAATTTTAATATTTACCCATTTTTCTATCATAAACGTTTTTTAAATTTTATACATATGCTTATAAATAACATGTATAATATTATTGTATTAACACAATGAAATTTATTTTAAAAATGTTCGATACATTACTATCCATTAACACATATCGATTCTGTGTTGTATTCGATGAGTATAGACATGTGCGTGTTCGTTAATAATTATTTATACTAACGTGTTATAAGTGTCAAATATCTAACGCTCGTTAAACAATCAATAATTGAAATTTGTGAACAATATTCAGAAATATTTAATTTAGAAGGAGATCACTTAACTTTTACAAATGCAGCGGAACATGACATTAAGCTAAAAGATAATCAACCACCAATTTATAAAAGACCATATAGATTACCCTATACACAACAATATGAAATTAATTCACAAATTCGAAAAATGGTAGACGACGATATTATAGTACAATCTATGATGCGTCCTTGGAACGCACCTTTATTATTAGTGAAAAAGAAATCAGATGCAAGTGGTAAACAGAAGTTCAGGGTAGTTATAGATTTTAGAGCGTTAAACGAAGTAACTTTAAATGAATTTCATCAACTATCTAATATAACGGAAATATTAGATCAATTAGGACAATGTCAAATATTTAGTGTAATTGATTTAGCGTCAGGATTTTATCAAATTCCGTTATCAGAAACATCTCGGGAGTTAACAGCTTTTTCGACTAATCAAGGGCATTGGCATTTTAAAAGAATGGCAATGGGCATGAAAACGTCACCAGCAACATTTCAGAGGTTAATGAATAACGTACTATCGGGAATAATAGGAATAAAATGTTTAGTATACTTAGATGATATAATAGTATATGAGAAAAATTTACGAGATCATAATAACAAATTAAAAGAAGTATTTGAGAGACTAATAAATAATAATTTAAAAATACAACCGGATAAATGCGAATTTTTAAAATGAGAATGTATTTATTTAGGTCATGTAATAACAGAGCACGGTATAAAACCGGATATAAATAAAATAAAATCAGTGTTAGAATTTCCGACACCGATAAATGCAAAAGGTATTAAATCATTTTTGGGATTATCGGGTTATTACAGAAAATTTATAGAATTATATAGTGCAAAAGCAAAACCATTAACAAACTTACTAAGAAAATATATAAAAATTAATTGGACAGATGAATGTCAAAAATCATTTGGTAGTTTAAAACAAGCATTATGTTCAGAACATATATTGCAATACCCAGATTTTACAAAACCATTTATTTTAACAACCGATGCGAGTAACAAAGCGTTAGGAGCAATTTTATCTCAAGGGGAAGTAGGAAAAGATTTACCTATAGCATATGCATCACGTACTTTAAATAATAGTGAAAATAATTATAGTATTACAGAACTAGAATGTTTAGCGATAATATTCGGAGTTAATCAATTTAGACCATATTTATATGGACGAAAATTTATAATTGTGAGTGACCATAGACCATTAACGTGGTTATTTAATTTAAAAAATCCTTTATCAAAACTCGCTAGATGGAGAATACAACTAGAAGAGTATGATTATGAAATTAGGTATAAACCAGGAGTATTAAACTCAAATGTAGATGCACTTAGTAGAATGTATACTATAGAGGAAATAAAAAGTGAAAACTATGAAACATTTTTAAATAAATTAGAAATACAGTTAATAACAAATACTAAAAGTATTTGAACAAAAGTTCGAAAATAATCAAACATTACCACCAAGTAAAATGATAGGAGATATAAAATATTTTAAATCAGACGATAGATACATAATATTTTTAATAACTAAAAATAAAAAACGTCAATTATCAACATACGAAAATATATACATATTATTAATAAACTTGAAATAATTTTGCGAAGAAAATAAAATAGATAAATTAATAATGAATAAACTAGGTCAATCAGATAATCTTGATGGGGATAAAATTAGGTCAATGTTACGATATATTTTTAAAAATACAAATATAGAAATATTAATTTGTACTAATGATGAGTATACCAAGGAAGAAAAACAAGAATGTTAGTTCGAAGGATTACTATGCATATCGGTTGATGATTAGACGCGATCAAGACAACGTTAGTCTACGATGTCATGAGCTTTGTCAACAATTCCTGGTGGTCTTATATGTAAAGATAGAGAGCAAACGATTTTGATTCTTGCGATTCAATTAAAAAAAGCTGCGTGTGGAAGATTCTCAAAACAATTGTTAGATATCAGTGATGAAAAAGTTTCATCTGTAGTTACTTAACTACAGATGAAACGGGATGCATAAAATTACCGACCGATTTCTGCACAATTATTGATTCACAAGATGCTCTCATTGACGACATATTTCCCAATGTACACAGAAAATACACAAATCATGAGTGGCTGGCATATAGAGCAATTTTAGCAGCAAAAAATGTGGACATCAACGAATTGAATTTCAAGATACAACCTTTGTTACCAGGAAACTTGGTGTCATACAATTCTATTGATACATTTTGCGATGCTACTGAAGGTTTGATCTCCGGTTATTTTGCTTCGTAATTTGAACTTACCACAGTTGTTCAACGGCACGCGATAAGTAATTAAAAAATGAACGAAAAATGTTATTGAAGCCATAATTTTAAATGGAAAATTTTGAGGTGAAAATATATTATTACCGCGAATCCCTATTATACCCACAGATGTACCAATACAAAACGCCTTCAATTTCTAATTAGATTGGCATTTGCAATGACTATCAATAATTTTCACGGCCAAACGATGTCTGTCTGTAGCTTAGATTTGAGCACATCATGTTTTTCACACGGAAAATTATACGTGACGTGCTCTCGAACCATCTAGTTTGTTTGAAATCATAAATAAATAAAATATATATTTTCTATTACCCATCAGACTTCATGACGCTTGTATCTCCACAATCACATACGCCACCTGTTTCAGAACGAAACATATTGAAATCATGACCAGTATGATCAGCACGTCTGAAACAATCTCCACATAGAGCCATGCAAACAGTCATACTACAAGTCCGACATCTGTATGCGAAATAATTATTTGTCCATACAAATCCACATGTTCTTCTATAATCATATCTTTTAACTAAAGAAAAAAGAAAATTTTTAATTATCAGTTATTAAATCATTGTTTATTCAAGATGATAAACAGTAAAATTTAGTGGCTTGACACATACGTATGTGATTTGTGTAAATACCACAAACCTATGGCTAAGAAGGGCTCATTATTTCTCAAAGTATATAAAACTTGTAATATTATACACACGATAATTACACGGTAAAATATGCAGTTATTGGTATATATATAGAAATTTCTCTCTTAATGTTTTTATATATTATGTTTAACCGTAGTTTAATTATTAATTGTCCTTTGACTTTATTTAAAATGTTGTTATGTTTCTAGGTTCATTGTTAAAATTAGAACTTAAATTAAGACACTTAAATTGTTATTGGCACTCTTATTAATAGTTATTGGAACCCAATAAAATATATGACAATTAAGTTTTAGTTCTATAAAGATTGTTAGCCACTTAATTGTTTACCATTTTTTTGTTAAGAAATGTATAGAAAAATATCCACAGGAGGTATATTGATAACTAATTGTTAAAATAAATTAATTTCTTACCTGTTTTATTGACTTGTTAAGATTTTGTATTAATTATGCATTTTCTTAACCAATCATTGCTTATAAAATATTGATAATTTGTAGAGGGAATATGTATCAGTTAAACCAAATAGTAAAAAAAGTTAATTTACCTAAATGTCGAAAATACCACTATTTATAAATTAAACAATTTTACTATGCCAATAACTGAGTACTTTATTCTAGTCAATATATTCAATATACTTAATTTATAATGATCTAAAAAAATAAAAATATCATTTACTATTATTATTATTGCTATTATTCGTTATCATTTTTTTTACGAATAAAATTAATTAATACTTATATCGTATACCTACAATTATACACAAGTACTTAATATAAGTACTATTTCTTCAGAAAAATCAATTACGAGTAGTACTTAGTATTGATTTTTCCGTACTCGTCGAGTACGGTTTAGGCCTATAGCGGTTACATATTATTTATATATATTTCCAATGGTTTTACTTATAATATTACTATACGAGTATAAGACATGTAAGTGATTCTATTTTTATAGAATATAAATACTTTATTTGTATGCAATTAAATTGTATTATTGATTTAATTGAGTTAGTCAGTATGTAAATTAGATTTTAGAAACATATTATTAATATGTTCATATCCTCATATATTTAAGAATTTCAGGCATATAAATACTAATACATTAGTCACTGGATAATTCGAAAAGTCTATCGGTGGAAGACAATTTTCAATTCGAATTTTTTTATCTACTGAATGATATAAAAAGGTATAATGACCGTTTGACAACCATTGAGGAAAACAATTGAAAAAAATAAATGACCGTTGATAACCATAAGTCGTTATTAACTTGGTAGTTCTAATATTGTATATCATAAACGGCACTTGGTAGAAACTCATGTGGGTGCAAACGTTTATGGTGATTCACAAACCGGTTGGTGGGGGGGGGGATGTTTTTCCACGTCACCTAATATTTAACTACTACTGTTACAAAAGTAATAAAAAAAATCTTTATGTAAAACTTTATTATATATTTCAATTAGTATAATATATAATTGTAAATATTAGTTATAACTTATAAATATATAAGGAACCTGTTTTTATCAACATAAATAATAATAAAAAACAATTACTGTTAGTAACATATATTATAATTAAAATTACAATATATTACTATTGTTAGCATTTGCAATTCAATAACTAAAATATAATATAATATTTTTGACTGTTGTCTGTGGGTGCAAAATGATACTTTTGCCCCCCTAGAAAAATTGTCGTGGGTGCAACTACACCCTCATGCTCCCTCCAGATGCCACCACTGTTGTATATAAACTACGCATTATCAGGGCCGTCCCAAAATTTTTCGGGGCTAAGGACAAATTAATTTGGGTGGCCCTTCGACCATAATAATAACGTATGATAAGCAAAATACTGAGAATAACAAAATTCTTGCAAACGTATTTTTCCAAACCTTAACCAATCAAATCCATTTAAATTCATATAATACATTACATACTTACACAATAGAATTTAATATTATTCATAGTTTAATCGCTCAATGTAATCGGAAAAGTTGCTACACGCTCGCACGCGCTCAACTTTAATCGCCGACACCCAGCGTGTAAAATTTCTTAATGTAATCGAGGTTTTATTATTATTTATTAAACATCTAGACTTTATGGGGCCCTCTAAAAAATATTCCAACAATGGGGCCTAGGGAAAAATGGTCCTGTAGTCCCTCCCCTCTGAACGGTCCTTTGCATCATCAGTATTAAAAATGTTAACTTTCATAGTGATATATTTAAAATATATATTATATTATATATATATATATATATTTAAAATATTAAAAGTAAACGGAGCCTTTCTAAGGAACACCAGTCCTTTTTTAAGATGAACCATCAATGATAAATTTATATGATTATATAAAAATCTATTAAAATTTTAAATGAAAAAATTACTTTTGAAAATTAATGGCGAGTAATGAGTATAAAGCAGGGACTGAGACCGAACCAAAAAAAACCGGCTACGGAACCTAAAACCTAGTGTAAATTAAAGAACCGAAAATAACCGTTACCTGTATTTTACATTTTTAATAGACCCTAACCAAAACCGAAACCTATAAACAATACCAAAAGAATACCGGTTTTTTCAAGGGTTTTTTACTGTTTTCAAGTTCCTATTGAAATCGAAAGAAATTACTCTTTAAACTAAAGATATATTATTTAGAAACAATAATTACATATAATAATTTATATTATACAGTATTTACGCAATGTTATATTCGACCGTCGACCAATGAATATAATATTATATACTATTATATTATATTGTCTAAGGAATATTAATATTTATTATGTATAATATACATATAACATATTATGTTATACCAATGGCGCACACTGGAAGGTTCAAGGGTAGCAGCTGCTACCCCTGAAAAATTGGGTGGGTGGGTGGTCCTCCTGGCCCCAAAATATCTACATCTACATAACTATATCATAATAAATCTACTACGTACAGTGGCGTGTTGAAGAGGTTTTTGAGAGGCCATGGCCTCTGCATTTTTAGAGGTGGGTGGTTTGGGTAGCCGAAGTCTCATGACTTATATGAGGATATCAATTCAATTGTACCTATACCTACATAAACTATAATAATAATTATTCAGAGACATTAAAATAGGCAAGTTGAACAAGTTTAGAGAATTCTAGTTAGGGGGTGTGGGGGCGAAGCCCCCACGGGTCTGCTTTTGAAAGTGATTTAGTGGGTGGGTGTTATTTTTCCATTCAATATGCTACCTCTATTCATTTTTGAGTGTGCGCCACTGTGTTATACGATAATGTCGATAACGGATCATTTCTGCGGACACATAAGTTATTTTTACAATTTCAAAAATGACACTGGGTTTTTGAAGTGTTTATTTTTATTACATATCTACACGTCAAACACAGTGCAAACGCATATCGTATTATCGTTATTAGTTATTATCGAATATCGGTGCTCAATGATGAATTTGCTGTCAGTTATGACACATGAACAAGCAGTCTACCTTTTTTTAGTTTAAAAGTGTCAAATTAAAATTATGGGTGGTCATACAGTGTCATGTGTTTATAAATATTTTGTTTACGATAAGAAATCCAAGGAGTCAGTTTGTAAAAGTTGCAATGGAAAAAAAAAAAGTAAGTAGTTACACATTTTTGTTTCATTTAATTTTAATTTAAGTTTAAAATCATTGACAAAAGAATTAAAATAATATTGTAATGAAATGGTAGGCAACTATATAATATTCAAGTAAATAGACATTATCTTTATAGTTTATATCTATACCATCAACTATAATAATGCAGTTTTGAGTAATTTATTTAGGTCCTACTCACTATTATGTTAAAAATACCCAATGTGAATATTATGTGATTATCTACAAAATAATAAATAGTACCTATGATTTTACCATAATTGCTCTTCACCTGTACGTGTAGCTTTGTAGCAGATTACTCATGAAAAGTTTAAATAATATTTATTTTGATTAATTTAGTTTGTATATTGTATTCCTTAAATATTTATATTTTGAAAATCTAATTGATATAGCTAGGTAATCAGATATTATATAAATATTTATGAATATGTACCTATAATTTTAAAAGGGAAAGAACAAATTTGAAAAGGCACCTGAGTTCCCACCAGGATATATATGAGGAGATGCTTTGCTAAGGATACAGAAATAAAAAAATTTACCAGATTTACCCAGATTAACTCATCTTTTATCAAACCACATAAGAAACTATTATTTTTCTATACTCGAGATTAAAGTTAACATTAATATGAACACTTTAATCAGTGCCTGCAAATACTAAACAATAGTATACAATAAATATTCTTGTATTAAAATTTCTAGTTTAAAAAAATAATATACAAAAATAAAGGTTAGAAACCGATTGAAACCAAAACCTAAATTTTAAAACTCTTAAAATCCCGAAATTTAATCTAAACCCCTAAAAATAATATTTTAAAAACCCGAACCCTTACCTAAACCGTTAAAACCATTAAGGTCTTAGTCCTTGGTATAAATACAACGTCTTATTTAGTTATTCAAATATGTTAATTTAATTTAACCTCTTTCGTAAACAAAGGATTTAAATAGGCATTCATAGAGCAAAAGTTATTTATGTTAATAGTTACCGGCACTACTGAATTCATCAAAGGTTTTACCACCAGCCATTAGCCAATATATCCAGTCCAAAATGTTGTCCAAATCGCCTATTTGATTCGGATTAAGTAATACATCCAGTAAGTCGTCTAGTTTTTTACAACGAATCAAAGCAACTTCTGCTTCATCAGTATTACAATTATCTTGCAGTAATTGTTGAGCAATAGCAGCAGCTGCATCACGTTTTCCAAGATTCATGAGGGAATAAGCATTCAAATGCTCAAGCTCAATAATACTATTCGGCATTTTATAGTATATTAGGGCCTAAAATAATGTGTACCCTGAAAATCAAAGTTTGTACCCAGAAATACAAATTAATTTACCAAGTTTTATAGTATATTTTTGTTTTATATTTCAAAATAAAATAATTTGAAATTTCAACACAAATGTATTAATAATATTTTACCCATAAAAAAAAAACTGTTGAATGATTTATCAATTGAAAAGAATTTTAACTTCAATCTCATCTATTTTTACTGATGTAGCTAACATTAATGTTGGCAAAAAAAATAGTTTTTGATCTATTTTTGTACAAAAACGAAATTAAATATTTAATAATACTGGTATATTTATCATCATTTAATGCATAGTTAACAAATGCGCATTAGCTCGGGAAAAACTAACTTCTGAAGTAGGTGACTTAAATAAACTTATTTAAATATGCTCTTCGATTTCATCCTAATTTTACCAATCATGGACTACTAAATACATACTTATTCATATGCATTAACTCAGATATAATACTATCAACTAATATAATAAACAATGGTTCTTAATAATATTGGATATGTATTAGGGATGTTGTACGAAAAATGTATAACTTATGTACGCAATATAATTAGAATGAGTAAAACAAGTTGTAGGCACACTAAAAATTTCTCCCAGTGAAAAACCAAATAACCATGTTGGTAACTTATTAGCATCAATATAATTTTCACTAATTGGCTTACAATTAATTAATTATTTTATTTTAATAGGCATTTGAAAATGGTACTTATAAACTATAACATTATCCTATATTTTATTACTGAGCATATTAAGAAATTGGAAAAGCCTAGTCAAGTCATTTACTTTAAAACAACTAGAAAATTACTGTAAAACAAAAGCTGAAGGATTTTTAAAGATATAATTGTCGTCAACAAATTAAAACTGATACATAAGTTACATAAATAAATTATGTTAACATGCTTTAAATTACAACAATAGATTATATTTATATTTTAAAATATCATATTATAATATAATAATATTTTAAATTTCATTATAAAAAAAAAAAAAAAGTTGGTATTTCAAATCATTAAAATATTTTTGAATATTTTGCTGTATATAAAATCAAACAGCATTGCGTTAAATACGCTTCCCGTGAAACGGTCGGTGTAATACATAATCATAACACAGGAAGGCATTGTTTAGTTTTTAACAACTACCCGCTATAGGAATTCAATTTCGATAAAACTTTTTTCACTATACACTCGACAGTCAGCAAGCTCTATTGACTATTTTTATTTTCAATGTTTTATTATAATACAACAGTTTATAAATTGAAAATAAAAATAACCAATAACTGCCGAGTGTATAATGAAAAATGAAAAGTTAAATTATACATAGAAACTTATTTATTTTAATAATGACTTAGACTGATGATAGTATAATTATTCAAATAGGGTTTTCTAAATTTGCATACGACGAAAAAAAAAGAATAATTTTCAATGAAAGATCTAGCCCTAAACTGAATGTCACTTCAGCTATAAATTGAAAAAAATCGAATAATTGCACAAAACATTTACGAAAGGCACTATACAAAATTACAGTTTGGATTATTTATTATTATTATTATTCACGAGAATTTTACAAATAAATCTATGATGAAGAAAGAAGAATGGAATTAGAATATGAATACATGTATTTTGTACAGTAATTAAAATATAATAAAGTATAATATATGTTAAGTTAATTTTTTAACGCCCAATTTTAAACTTAGAAAACATCACAGACTCTTAAAAATATTTGCTACATTTCCAGTTTCTACCGCAACCACAGAAAAGTAATTTTCGACCTTTAAGATGGTTAAAAAATTCTATGCGTTCTACAATGACTGAATTTAGACTAAACAGTGTTATTTACATTTATAGAACTCAATAAAGTAAATAATTTTACAACTATACTTATACTATACTTATATTAACTATTTTACTTTATTATAACAATGTTGAATTTAAAAATAATACAAAACTTACAAATTGGCTCTGCTGGACAAACATCGACTGACACATGTTCACAATGAACTACTACTACGAACTACAACTCCGACTGCGAATAAGCCCATAGTGTTAGGGTTTGCTTACGTTGAAAATAAAATTGTCCTGTCGGCGATTTGCGTGTGGCGAGATCTAAGGCTCGGTTCCACGAACACACTGTCTTCAATGTTTCACAATTTCTTATTCCAATTACAACTTATACATATAATATTCTAAATAACATTCGTTTATATCAACCGTTTAGGATTTTCTTTTTTATAGTTTCGCAGCACATTTTTTACTCGTCCAACAATATACTGCTGTTCAATAAATAATTATGCATTTAATAAAATTAGATAATGTTTAATGACGAATTAACATTAATTCGATAAAATTTCACATAACAATCTGCGTAAATACGTTTTTTTTTTTTTTTTTACTGAGACTGAGAATTTAACGCATAAAAAAAATTAAAAATATTCATACGCTTTAGCAAGACAATTTACATTTGTGACATTTATTTGACATTCTGTAAAATTTTTAATAACTTTTCGTCATTATTAGAAAAATTAATAGCAAATTCATAAAATTACCCTCTTATCAAACTAAACAATATTTCCTATTAGAAACCTTTTAAGACTGTAATGATCAGAGCATTTTTTCTAATCAAAATTGTATTAGTACACGGACTAGATGTCAGTGTTTGGAGAGAACGTCGTTCGTGAATGCCCGTTCACACGTTCACATTCATATTTTATGGACGACACGCAAACGTCACTTGTTTTTTTTCAAATTTAACGGGAAGAACATTTATATTTTAATGAATTTGAACAACTTTTGGGGTGATTAATTTGATTTACCATATTAAAAATGCATGTATAAATAATGCATATCGAATATAATATGTTTAAATATGGGTTTTAAACAAAAAATAAAATAAACCTAATACATTCTATAAAGGTTCCATTTATACAGAATGCCGATTAGTGGTTCATAAATATAAAATAAAAAAATTTAAATCAACAGCCATATTAACGCGTTCATATTTTCATAGAATGGACGTGAACGTAAAAGAGTTCCTTTTTAATGCATTGAACGTTTACGTGAAAAAGTTCAATTTTTAAATGAGCGTTCCAAATACTGCTATATATATTGTAAATACATCACAATAAGGATACATTGAAATAAGATGTACAATGAAATAATAAAAAAGAATAATGATGTGTACTTAACCATAACAAAAATATAACGTTATAACGTGGGGCAACAAGTAATTCTTCCCTCCTCTTTTACTGGCTCCCCACGTTACATGCATGAAAAAAATCAGGGTGCCATGACTTATGTTCGTAAATTTGGCCGTCCAGATTTATTTATTACTTTTACATGCAAGCCGGAATAGCCGGAAATAAAAAATGAATTATTTCAAGACCAAAAATCGTTTGATAGACACGATATAATCTCTAGAGTTTTTCATCTCAAACTAAAAAAGTTTATGCATGTATTAAAAAATAAATATATTTTCGGTGATGTAAATTGTTATGTTTACAGTGTTGAATGACAAAAACGAGGTTTGCCACACTGCCACATTCTTTTATGGTTACAAACGAAAATTCAGCCAGATGAAATTGATAAAATTATTTCTGCCGAGATACCAAACAAAGACAAAGATCCTATACTTTATGAAATAGTATGCAATAACATGATTCATGGCCCATGCGGCGAGTTAAATATTAGATCGCCATGTATGAATAATGGAAAATGTAGTAAGAAATACCCTCACAAATTGGTCAAGCAAACTGGAGATGATGGTTATCCGACTTACCGACGGAGATCACCAGATGATGGAGGTTATACTGCAATATTAAAAGTTCGTGGTCAAACAGAAATCGTGGTTGACAACCGTTGGGTTGTACCGTATTCTCCAGTGCTATCTAGGTGCTTTAATGCGCATATTAACGTAGAATACCGTCATTCGGTTAAAGCGATAAAATACATATGTAAATATATTAATAAAGGATCAGATAGAGCTACTTTTTCTGTTAATCGTGAAGACGATAAGATTACAAATTATTTGAATGGTCGATACATATGTACTTCTGAAGCGTTTTGGAGAATTTTTAATTTTGAAATCCATGATAGAGATCCGACAGTTCAGCACTTTGCTATTCATCTAGAAAATGAACAGCGTGTTTTCTAATCATAGTTTTCTGCCAACCGTCTGAACCTCAATCTTTGTGGGAACAGTTCAGAAATGATTTTTGTGAAGATATTCTTCATACAGAGCGCACTCGATTAAATGACTTGCAATTTACTTTTTCTGATGAAATATTTAATAGAGGTTTGATTAAAATGGAAGATAAAGTTGTTTGTCCGTCTGAAAAATATTTAACTGAATTTAGAATGAACTCACCTGTTCGAAATGAAAATGCATCTGATCCTTTTGAATTCTCAATTTTGCGTTCTTACGATAATAACCGATTACAAGGATTTGTAGAAATCAATTTACCAAAATTAGTAAATGATCAAAAATATGCTTTTAATGTTATTACAGAAAGTGTAATGAATCATCAAGGAAGGTTAGTTTTTTTTTAGATGCTCCGGGTGGTACAGGAAAAACATTCCTAATTAATTTGTTGTTGGCTCAAATTAGATCCTCAGGTAAAGTTGCATTAGCAGTAGCTTCATCTGATATAGCAGCAACTCTCCTTAGTGGCGGCAGAACTGCTCACTCGACTTTCAAGTTACCGTTAAATGTAGTATTATTTGATACAAAATACGTTTGTCCGATTCGTAAAAATGGCCCTCTTGGAAAAAATTCTTCAAGAAACCTCATTCTTTGTATGGGATGAGTGTACAATGAGTCATAGATCACATATCGAAGCAATTGATCGAACATTAAAAGATCTTAGGTGTAATAATAAGTTTTAGATGGCATAACATTTGTCTTCGCTGGTGATTTCCGTCAAACCTTACCAGTAATCCCTAAAGATACTCGAGCTGATGTCGTTAATGCTTGCTTAAAATCTTCTCATATATGAAACTATATTGAAAAACTTTATTTGTGAACAAACATGAGAGTTTATTTTTGCGGAGAGGACGATATTTTTCCAGCACAGTTGTTGAAAATTGGAAATGGAATTTTAAAAAATGAAAATGGTTACATTTCTGTCAATCACACGATTGGACGGGTGGTCATTAACGTGAAAGAGTTGATTTCTGCAGTTTATCCTGACATTTTTAATCTGTCCAATAAATCTTATCAGTGGTTATGTGAAAGAGCTATTATCTCTCCAAGAAATGTAACAGCAGGAGAAATTAATGATATCATCCTTCTAAAATTCGATGGACACTCACGTGAATATCTATCTATTGATACAGTTACATCAACAGATGATGCTATTCATTATCCACAAGAATTTCTCAATTCTCTTTCTTCTTCGGGACTTCCTCCTCATAAGCTAAAATTAAAAATTGGTGCTTCAATTACATTATTACGTAATCTTCAACCACCGAACTTATGTAACGGTACAAGATTACAAATAAAATCGTTGCGAAATAATATTATAGAAGCCGTAAATCTTACAGGGCCAGCGAAAGGAGAAATGGCATTTATTCCAAGAATTCCCATGATTTCCTCTGACTTGCCGTTTTCTTTCAAACGGCTTCAATTCCCGGTTAAAGTATCTTTTGCCATTACCATAAACAAAGCGCAAGGTCAAACATTCAAGTACGTTGTCGTAGATCTTCGTACAGAGTGCTTTTCACATGGGCAATTATACGTGGCATTTTCTCGAACTAAGGACCCAAATCGTCTTATGATTTTAATTTCAACAGGAAATATAACAAAGAACATCATATACTCAGAAGTCTTATAAAATTCTTATTTTAATTATTTTTTTTTCTTTTTTTTCTTCATCAACTTCAATCAAATTCTTTATCAACCATAAATTATTTCTTTTTTATCTGTATTTATTTTTATCATTTATAACGCTAGAAAAATTTCAATTCGTTTTCATTAACCGTTTTTTTATATATACTTGCCGATCACATTAAACAATAATATTTGAATAAAAAATTAACGGAGTTCACGGGCGAAGCTGTGACGGGTCGGCTAGTTATTAAATAAAACTATTAAAAAACTATTAAAAAATTATAAAAAAAACTATTTAAAAACCATTAATTTTATTTTTGGTAGTAAATGACGGGTATTGTATAAATATTAAACAAAAAAGATCCCGCAACAGGTGTCAAAACAAATAAGAATGTTAGTTCGAAAAATTATTATGCATATCGATTGATGATTAGATGCGATCAGGACAAAATTATTCTACGATATCATGAGCTTATTTTCATGATCAATTTTAATAAATTACTAAAAAAATAAATGTTTGATGTTTTTTCATTTTTATATTTCGTCAACATTTATAGCACTCCATATCTCTTCCTTACATCCTTATCTTTACCCACATTCTTACATGCCTATATTTAATTAGTTATTTTTTCTAGCAAAATATTTTTCTAGGAATAATTTATATAACAAAACAACGTTTGACGGGTCAGCTAGTTACTTATATATTTAAATATTTATTGACGATAGACCAAGGGCGTATTTAATACAGTTCTATCATTACTTGTGAATATTCGTGATTTATGCACGCGTCAATATTATACCAGAACGCGTTTTTTTTTTTTTTGATTCAATTATAATTAGATATATACGACGACCGTTCCGGAAATACAAAGATGATGCCGCATTATCGGTGTTCAATGCGCGCAGGCAAGTTATGTATGATAAACAAATATTTAAAAAATGTCTGTTAAATTTTAAAATAAATCAGTCTTTCAAGCAATACGCTGTGAACAGTACGACTTAGGCCAGAGCGAACAATGATAAATAAAATATAAAAAAAATTACATAAAAAAATATATACATATTTTGAATGCAAATCATAAATGTATAAATATTTTATATTTTTTTAATATCCATTTTTACGATACGTTTTAAAATGTGTCACAATGTACTCATTGTTATTAACTGTTCGTTGTTTTGAACACACGCGTGTGCTTGCACAGATCTAATTTACAT